ACATTTGTTAAATTCATTGAGTAGCCCCCTTTAAGAGTAATTGATTTTTCTGAAAAAGTATGCAAATGCATAGTAATTTGCACAATAAAGTGCCACTAGTCATCAAGGGAAAGAATATGAGCACTGGTATTTAAGTACTAGTAATCTTCTTATGGACAAAAACAGTTATAAAACTGCAAAGTGGGAACACTCCACATATTTAGAAAGTAGGAAAAAATCTATTGGAAACAAAGAACACAGAGGGAAATATGCATTCCCTATATGAACTTAAATAAATATTCAGTCACCTGATACTGCTTCTATCAAGAGGATCCACAGCAGTAAAGACTAGAAAATGAAATTATAAGCTGAAAACAGCACACATCATTACTTAAAACCTGTCTAAATATCATTCAGAATTAGTATTTTTGTTATTATTTTGACAATTAGGATTTAACCATCTTTATATAATAAATGAAATCATCATAAATAAAAGCATGATTCTAAGGTTGATATTTTTAGTTCCATTAATAACAATGAACACAAGAAGCAAGAAATTTTAACAAATGAGATTGAAATTTGAAAAACAGAGTTGTAATATAAGGAATGTTAGAAGACATGTATGAACCTGAGGTTTAAGTTTTATCCTGCAGGTAAAGTTACAAAAATTTCCAAATTGTATGACACATTGATCTTAACTCAAAACTAAAGCAATTTAGGCACTTATAAAATTATTTAGGACTTTCTAAAATGAATCCATTCCATGCTATAACTATTCACCGCACATAGACACTATATTGGGTATTAGTTGTTGTTGAAGCGGATGAGATAAGATCCAATATTAATTTGATTGCCCATAAAAATCTGAGATTATGGTTTGAGGAGGCTGAAAGAAAACTGAGTGCTAAGTTAGGAGAGGAGCGAAATAAGAAGTCAAAGACATTCAAGTAAGAGTAGCTGTAATCTTGTCTTTGAAGATGGATATATCTCAATGTTTGAGGACACACCATAACAGCATCCCAGTGTAAAACATATGTGGGATTTATGCATGAGAAGCATTGCTTTAAGTGAGTAATCATTACTCAAGATCCTTTTTGATCATAAATCATAATTGTTAGACCTTTTCATGGTGGGCTACTAGAGCTTTTATCTCAGAGTATTGGCTGTTCAAGTTGGCTACACAGATTGGTTGAAACTTGCTACTCTATTTTCTAGTTGTATGATTAAGAGTAGTTTACATAGGCAATCTGGATCACAGCTTTCTCATGGGTAAAAAACAAACAAACAAACAAACAAACAAACAAAAAAACACACAGCTTTAATAATGGTACTACCGCAAAAGGTGATTGTGACAATTAAACCAGTAAACCATGAATGGTTCTCTGAGCAATGTCTAGCAGACAGTAGGCATGAAAACAATGTCTGCTCTTTATTTTGTAACATACAATATTCAGAAGATTAAATTTGATGAAGCAGAGAAGCAGTTCAAAGCACCAGCTCCAGTGATGGTCTTTCAACTTTGAAAATTTCCTAGATATCTTTGACTTTAGAGCTCTTAAATATGCTGTTCCTTCTGCCTGGGACACTCCTTTATACTCCTTTCCCATTTCCTTCTTTACCTTATTAATTCCTTCCCAAACTTCAAGTCTCAGATGTCTATTCTCTCTTAATAAACTCTAAACTGACTTTTCCTTTTACAGGAACATCCTGCAAAAGGCATCCTTCCATTTTATTTCTCTTATAGCCTATTCACAAGGTGTATGTGTGTGTGTGTGTACTTCTTTCTATAATCCATACCATTTTCTAAGGTCAATCAGAAAAAAGACCACGTCTATTTGTTAGTCAATCAAATGTAGCTTTTACTACAATGCCTAATATATCATCATTATTCAATATATATGTGTTAAAGTAATGAATAAATACAAATGCAAATAAAAACATGAATAGATTCATGAGGAATTGAGCTGATTATTACTGACACACTGATAATGCTCTATTCTGAATACCTCACTGGTTTTTTTAAAGACACATTAAATGTATTGAACAAGAAGGATAAGTGAACTTCTCTTTGTGGACATGCCATAATTCATAATAGCTGGACTCTCCCCTGAGATTTTCCAAGAGAGAAAAGAACAAAATAACCACAACATAAATCAAATGATCACCGCAGCATCATTATAAATAGCCATTAAATACCACTAAATTACATCAAGTATAACACTTACATAAGTAAAGTGAACAACCACTTCAAATCTATAATTTCTGAAGTGAGGATACTTTGTGATCAGAAAATTTTGAATTTATCTAAAATTTTATATAAAAACAAATAAATTGCCTTTTCTTTTAATAAATACCAGAATCTCTTAGAAATCAGTTAATGACATAGTCTAAAGTATAAATAATCTATTTATTAAAATGTAAGCTCAGAATATGTTCCACAGATGATCTTACATCTTAGTTGAATAGAGTAATGATCAGAACAGTTCTCAATCATTGTTATAGTTCAGAATTACCTGTGGAAGTTATTTTTAAAAAAAAAAAAGATGTCTAAAGCCTAGAAATACTATTATTTTAAAAATATGAGTGAGTTTTAGGGAGCATTATCTTTTTAACAGCTTAATGCCTGACTCTGATATGAATCCAATGCTAAATAGAACTTGTTTATTGATAGGCACAAACTTATTTATTGTTAGAGAAAGTCTGGAAAATCCTTATAAAACAATCCTCAGTAATTAAGCAAGATTGAGAAATTATATGGCTACTTCAATCACATGCTTTGTTTGCACAAGAAGTTTGCAATTACCTGAACACTAAATATAGTCATTTGGAAGTTACTCAGCTCCTCTAATTTTCTTTTAGTTAAATATCGTTTACTTAATTGAATTTGACAAAAATTTTTGAGTGCTGACTGTGCCTTAGGCACTTTCTCTGACACTGCTATATTTAAAAAGTGTAAAATTTGATCATTGGCCTTGTACATATTCATGTTAAAAGACAGATATTTTTTTTTAAATTCAAAAAGCATGTAAGTGCCATGATAGAGTATTATGATTTATAAAATGTATGTATCATATAAACCACTCTCCACCCCACATACACACATACATATGCACAGGTTAATGGAGAGATCATGTAGCTTCATGGAGTCTGTGTCATTTGAGATTGGTTTGGAAGGATGAATATGAACAAATATTTGGAGCCATCAAATAAGTGAAATATATGAAAGTTTGACTGGATTATAGAGAAGAAAAAAAGAGTATGAGGTTGATTGCTGAAGACCATGGATGACCCCTGCACAGAACTCTTTACAGCCATTGTAGAAGCACATATGGTATCTAAACAGGACATGCAGTTAAGGAATGCACAGTAATGTCTAGGAAGAATATTAAAGATATGAAATAATTTAAAAATAGTATAATATTAATTCTAAATAATACAAAATACTGAAAAGAACTATAGTATCAGAAATGGAGAGAAACAGACTGCAGACGAAAGGAAGAGAATTAATACAATCATAGTGGCAGCCTAAATGGTTCCTCTAGTTCCACTAAAACACAGGGATCCTGGGTGGGAGTAATGGGGAATGAGAATAGAAAGGTGAAAGAAGACAAGGCTGTCGAAGGCTTTGAACACAAGGGTCAAAATGTTGGGACTCTTTTAAAGGTTCATATGAATATACTAAAGATTTGTAGGCAAGAAAGCGGGAAAATTACAGAATTAGATTTTAAGTTGGAGAATAGGTACATTGGGAAGGGGAAGGCCAGAGCAAAAGGGGTACTACATGGTTACTGCACTAGTTCCAGCAGGAGGTAACGAGGTCCAGGACATACTGGCAGAAAAAGGGACATGGTGCTATCCTGTAAGAATGTTCCTACTGAAGAATGGGGCTGATGAACTGCTGGGGTGAAAGATATCTTTGAAAAGAGAGGGAGACATAAAGTTAAAAAAAAGATAACGGAGGAAGCTTGAATATAATACCCATGGAGCAAGTATTCACTAAGGTTCTTAGCCTGAAAAGGATTTTAAAAACCTGATAGATTTCTATCACTGTCGTTTCATGATTAGCAGTTTTGCTTCATTATCAAGAGTCCTTAACCCAAACTATTTTATCGTAACATGCCTAGAGATCTACTAAAAGACAAGATTATAAATTCCTTCTGGCTTGATTTCCCACCATAAATCAAATTTAGGGAATGTATAAATGCTACAAGTATGTGGTAGTTTGTTCTGGATATTAATCTCACATTCTTAATGAGACATATAAGCACTAGCACTGATAAGCATACTCTGTAAGTAAAATTACTGATTAAATAATATAAGAGCTCCTTGCTCATCCTAAAATTAAACTTCCCATTTGCAAAAGGCATACTAGACATAAGTGAACATCACTGTGCAATCTAATAGAAATATATCATTACAAGAGTGCAAAAATATCTAGCGTATCAGTATTAATTGAATTCTTTTGGTGGTAAAAAATATCTGTGGTTTAAAAAAAACACTTGTCATTTGATTTCATTAGGGAGAATGGTAAGGTAAAAGTGATTATTCGGGTTAAAAACAATTAAATTGAAAGCAAGGGTAAAATTATTATAGAAAAATCCTAAAAATAAATGACATGTCTTCTGAAATCTATTTGCAGTAAATGAAACCAAAAGCAAAATTCACATGCATCTTCTCACATAACTATATCTGTACAGCTGCATGTCTATATATTTTTAAACCTTCACATTGTCAGTTATTCAATAGTAACTAATTTTGTGGAAAAGTAAGATTTCCAGTAATACATGAAGTAATTAATCAACCTGACCAGCCCAAACATGAATATAATGTACATCACTGAAGACTAACAAGATAAAACTGCAACAAGGTTAACATCCACTCATCTGCTGGACAGTAATTGCTAAATAACTGCAAAATACATTACATTCTGTTCATTAACGCTCCAATTATAATGTCCCTTTCTATCTGTTTCCACGTTTATCCACGTTTTGTCTGAAAAGAATGGGAAAATAAACACTTACCAAAATGGTGGTGACGATCAAAGAACGGTTAGATAAGGAATCTGTGATGTTGGCTGGCTTTCCCTTTTGACTTTCTGTCATATTCAGGCCACTGGCTGGGTCCCAAGTTCCAATCTATAAAACAGCATATGTTCTTCGTAAGTTGTCCATCGGACATATAGGAGAGAGTACTTTCAGAGAGAGTTAAGATTTCTCACACTTATCATTCACCTCTGCTGGATTATCTGCCATCATTAAAGCAAAGGCTGCTTGTTTTAGGCATGATCCACTGCTCTGAGAAGCATGTCCAGTGAAGTGTGACATTAAAGAACAAAATGATCCACTGAACTTCCACAGTCGGTGTGGGAGCTTAATTTTCCATTCAAATGTTCATTCACCAAGATAAACCACATTTGATGATACCTTGATAGCTGGCCAGAAACTCATTAATGGTAATATCTCTTACTGAAATGGATCTGTCTTGGCCTCTCATTCTAAAGATAACACACCACATTATGACATGAACAAAGTTAAAAGACAGAGCAAAACCTAGGGATCCCGGATAAATTAATCGGTGAAGGCAGGTTTGAGAGAGGCATTGATTGGTAATCTGCATAACACCCAGTAAGACAAAATCATATGCAGAATTCACTTCAGAGCTTTAAAAAAATATATCTTTGCAATTTTAAAATACTCAGACAAAAGGATATTACATTACAGTCTCATCTAGTTAACCCATTCCAGTCGTCCCACCTGTATTCCATTTGAATGTACTTAATTTAACTAATACTCTGTAATAGATTAGGGTAGAAATTTTCATCCAGTGGGCCACAAGAATTTTGAAAACATTCCTGATGATCTAGTCAGAAACATTGACCTTTTATCCCTTAGATTAGGCATCAGGTGTGAATGATTATACCTAGTTTCTGTCAGATTGGCCAGAAGTACATGTCTTGGTGTGCCCCAGAATTGTAGTAATTAGTTTATGTGTGCTGGGAGATGAAAAAGGTTGAAAATTGCTGGATGAGGGCATATACTCTCAGTGATTAGACACTTTATAAGCACAGGATGCCATAAATACATAGTTCGGATGGATGGTTTGCATACACTTCACCATTGCACCATCATATAATAATGGTCATCACTAAAGGAGAACAGAGGCATAAGGAAATAAGGAGTGCCGGGACCGGTTTGGCTCAGTGGATAGAGTGTCAGCCTGCGGACTGAAAGGTTCTGGTTCGATTCGGGTCAAAGGCATGTACCTTGGTTGCGGGTACATCCCCAGTAGGGAGTGTGCAAGAGGCAGCTGATCGATGATTCTCTCGCATCGATGTTTCTAACTCTCTATCCCTCTCTCTTCCTCTCTGAAAAATCAATAAAAAAAATAAGGAGTAATATTTTCCCACCCTCTTAAACCTGGGGGGAGTCATCAGTAGTCACTGTATTTGTAGTGACTTTAATATAACAGGTAATATTTTCCCTAATGTGGTAGCAAGAGTCTCATCAGCATAACCTTATCCAAATTAAATATTATGGTCCTTTTATTTTCTTTATTTGTCATTATATTTTCTCTTTTGAGCCCCTTTTAATTTCCATCATTTTCCTAGTAACCTTTTAAGATATTTAGTAATCTCTAAAGAAAAGCTCAAAAGTGGAAATACTAGTAATTTCTGTTCTACATAAGAATAGGCATGCCACTCTAATACTTGCGTATAGGTGCAAACCCCAGTACTGGTACATTTTTCAAGAATGTATTTAACTATACTAGTGACTCAAAAACATTTCTTTAGTGATGGCTAAAAAAAATAGCTCTTGCCATATATTTTCATTGCAGTTAACTTTCTTCTTACTATGAAAAACTACATATTTCTGAAGTTTGGGTCGAGAAATGGAAAAGTCAAATAACACAGTGAGAAAAAAATATCTTGATTCAGTATTTTTTCCAAAGTAAAGTACCATTGGGCCAATTAAATTATTTAACTTAGACTACAAGTATCATGTCATACAGACATTCGGGGTCTGTAATGAAAGGCAGTCAGGTAACATTGACATTGACGTGTAAGGGCATAAGGCAATAGCAAGAATGTCAAAGAGGAGGATGTGTGGTTTTAAATTTCAAAAAATCTCAAGGCAGAACAGCAAGTAGGGACCACATTCTGACCCTGCTCTGCTCACAGAGCTGTGTGTCTTGGGGAAGCATATTCCCAGAGCAGGTGCTTTTTCAGGTTCCCAGCAAGAGCTAGGAGAGGGCCTGCTGGGAACTTGGGTGGGGAAGGACAGCCAGGATGTAAAACACGGAATGCCTGCTGACCTGCTTAAACTGCTTCAAATTCAAAATCATTCAAAACACTCTGTTGGCTAAACAAGACATCTGCAGATCCTATTTTGCAGTGACTGCCACTTTTCTGTCCCTAGTTTGTAGTTAATACCTATTATACAAATGCCACTTCTTTGGAATCCCGTCTCCTCTCCCCCCACCTCTACCACAACCACTGGCTTAATAATCAAAATTTTCACAGGTATAATTCTATCAGCTCAAACACTGGCAAACATACTTTGTCTGCTAAGGTCTGCCTTACGACACTTAAGCTCAATCAATAAGTTTTTCAAATTTCTAACCAAATCACTAATACAAAATATGGCCATTTCACTTACTAGTGTCTTCCATAACTCCTTTTTATTAAAAAAAAAAATAAAAAAAACTGAGCTAAATATCCACTCATCTAAACATATTAATATTTAGTTTCATTCTAGTACTGTTTGGATGGAGGGATTCTAGTTCATAGAATATGAATCCATAATTTGTAATCACAGATATTAGCTATTCTCTTTTATAAAACTCATTTCTCAGCATAATGTTATGGAGTTTCAGAAATTTCAGTGTTATAAAATATTAAATCAAATAAAATTTGTATGATTACTGAATTTTAAATCTTCTGGAATTATATAATTCAAAAATTTCCATTGCTTGAGGAAATTGTCGCCAGTGGATTTTGTGCTTGGTTTTGTTTTTATCACAAGAACCATGGAACAACTCAATATAATCCTATTTCTTTTCCTGTATTTTCAGAATCAATTTTTTATTAGATGATTTAGTAAAGTCTTTTAAGTACTTTTTATTTTCAGTTCTGAAGTGGAATCATGATAGCTAAGCACTCTTGACCCCACAGAAATGTTTTAAGTAGAATAAATATATATACTGGTTCACGTGGATATTTCAAATTTCAAATTGTCTTCCTAGTGTGAATAGTAATAGCACCCTCTTGTACAATTTAAAAAGCCAGGGTTTGGCTAGTAAAGTATAATGCATCCTTATTATAAGGACAACCTAAACAAGTGATATAAAAGTACTTCAGACACCATAAAGAACTATAGAAAACATGGCATTATTCACTTTCATGTTCTCAATGATTCTTAAGATAAATTTGCTTTTCTTCATAAAAAAAAAATCTATGTTTACTGTGAAATTATAAAATACACAAGATATAAAAGCAAACATCAATTTAAACTTTGAACTTATGCACATCCCCAAGTCAATCATAGCTAAAACTTTAGTGTATGTATGTTCCTTGCATAATTTGCTTCATAGTCTGATCCAGAGTTAATGGATCAGACTCTGAAGGATGTACCAGATTGCCTTAATCCCATTTCCTTCAGGTGACATGGACATATTACTTCTCTACTCTTTAATTTCCTCATATATAAATAGGCATATAATAGTACCTACCTCATAGAGTTATAATTATTATATCAATTAAATAAGACCTACCAGTATTTGTATACTATTATGAGTATTTCCATCTGATGTTAAAAATTAATTAATTCTTAATTTTAGTGAGTCCACAAAATAAATATCATATGAATATAATATGCTTCTCTCAGACAAATATATTTGTCTTGAGCAAAGAGCGTAAGCGGTACTTTTCCATAGAAAGCCTGTGCAGTGATCATCAGAGACCACATTGTTCATTATATTTGAAGCAGTCTTAGCACAATGTGAAGTCTCTATCATAAAGTAAGTTCACTTTAAGCCCTAACTGTAGATAGAGCATTGGCCTGTGGACTGAAGGTCCTGGGTTCAATTCTGGTCAAGGTCACGTACCTTGGTTACAGGTTCCCTGGCTCTGGTCAGGGTGCATACAGGAGGCAACCAATTTACGTGTCTCTCTCACGTTGAAGTTTCTCTCTGTCTCTCCTTTTCCTTTTCACGTTCTCTAAAAATCAATGAAAAAAATATCCTCAGGTGAGGATTAACAAAACAAAAAATTAAGTTTACTTAAAGAAAAATCTCCCAATAATTACTTGCCTCTGACCACATGACCCAGAAAGTATAGTTTTTCTTAAAGAGTATTTATCATTCCTTTCAGAATAACAGTACTATCCCAAATAGTTCTGTTTGAGGGTACCGAAAAGTGGAAAGCAAAAGAAAGATATTGATATTAAATGCTAATTTATGTTTAGAAGATAAATATTCTCTCCAATTAACCAAATATATACTGGTAGACTATATATTTCTCTATTAATCTGTGTACTCATTTTTTTAATATATTTGATTGATTTTTCACAGAGAGGAAGAGAGAGGGATAGAGTTAGAAACATCCATGAGAGAGAATCATGGATCAGCTGCCTCTTGCACACCCCCTACTGGGGATGTGCCTATAATCAAGGTACATGCCCTTCACCGGAATCGAACCCTGGACCTTTCAGTGCTCATTCCGACGCTCTATCCACTGAGCCAAACTGGTCCCGCTGTGTACTCATTTTTTATGGATAATTTCCAAGCTCAGGTATGTGTACATGAACGGCAGGAACTGAGTTTGTTCGACACAGTAATTGTCTTGCTAAGTGTTGCAGGCAAACTACGGACTTTTCCCCTCACTTTACTCTTTCCAATGTTGAATTTTTTTTTCAATGTTGAATTTTTAAATAAAAAGTACAGATAGCTACTTGCATTACCATCTAAAAGTGTACTGTCTAATGTCAATAGTAATATGCATACTTCCATTGGACTAAGTATTAACAGGAGATTACTTAAAACAAAACTAGTATCTAATCATTCAATGTCTATGTACTGAGTAAAGAACAATTAATTGGAAATTAAATCATCTTCATACATCAGTGATTTGGCTCATGAG